AAGTAGAAAATATATAAAATTAATAAGTTAATTCAGATTCAAATTTATATTTTCTTCTTATTTTAAATTTATTTACTAATTATAAAATAGATATAATAAAATATTATTTATATAAAAAATACTAATATAATTATTATTCTGAATAAATTAACTTTATATTTATAATTATTAAATATATCTTTAAATAAGCAAAAATTAGTTTAAAATAATATATAATTTTTAAAATATATTTTTATAATATTTTGTTAATAAGTTTAATAATTAATAAATAAATAAAGCTATCAAAAAATATATATTAAAATATAAAATTAATTAATTAATATATTTATTTATAATAAATTAAATTAAAAAACTTGGAAAGTAATTAATTTAGTAATAATTTAATGATTTTTTAAATATTATAAAATTTTTACAAATATAAATAATATTTAGAATAATTTGATTTTTAATTTTAAATAAGTATAAAAATAAAAAAATATAGAAATTAATATTAAAAAAGAAAAAAAAGTGAATTAAAATAAATAAAAAAAAATTATATTAATATTTAAAATTAATTATTTTTAATAATAGATATAATAAAAACTTTAAAATTTTATCTGTAATTATATATAAAAATTATACTTTATATTCAAATATTAATTAAAATTAGTTAAGATTAACTTTAAATAATATTTAGATATTATTTAATATTATATTATTAAAGATAATAAAGAGTATTTAAATCTTAATTATAAAAAATATTATAGTTTAAAGAAATAATAAGTAATATAATATAATAAATATTAAATTTTGACTTAAGATTAAAAATATCATTTTAATTAATTGTAACTTATAATAGCTAATCAGAAAATTATGATTAATTATAATAGTAAATTAGAGAATTGTGATCAAGTTATAATATCATCTTTACTTAATTTAAAAGATTTTATTATTTTATTATTTAAAATTATTATAGTTAAATCTTTATATACTAATATAAATATTTTTAATATAATATATTAGTATAAAAAAATATTAATACATATTATAAACTAATATTTATAATAAAATTATAGATAAATTAATATATAAAAATTTATAATCTGATTTTATTTATTATATATTCAAATTATAAAATTAAAATTTAACTTTATTTTGAATTTTAAATAATAAAATTATTTAAATTACAAAGTAATTTAATTTTTAATTTATATTTAAAGATTATTTATTTAAGATTATTTACTATAGACACATTTTTTTCTTTAATTTTAAAGTTATTTAGAGAGTTTTACAAAAAAATAAGCATATATTTTAGAGATTTTAATATCTTAATTATGAAGTATTAAGAAATTCTTTTTTATCAAAATTATATTAATCTTTAATTTTTGATAGTTAAATACTTATAATAATATTATTATTAGTTAGCTTAATATTATTATTAATTAATATCTGATCAATATAAATATATTTATTTATTACTATTAGTTTATCAAAAAGTAATTAATAAATTAATTATTAAATATATTTATATTTATATTTAATATTTAAGATTAAATATATTTTGATAATATTATAATTATTAGAGATATTATATAAAGAAGATAAAATTCTTATTTTTTTTAATAATTTTTAATTATTTTTTTTGTAATTACATTCTATATATAATTAATAAAAGTGATAGTATTCATAATAATTATAGATAAAATTATAAATTTTTATATAAAATTATATACTTCAATCTAATTTTTAATTAATAACTTTTGATATTAGATCTAATACAAAAGAATTTATTAATATATAAATATAAATTAATTTTATTTAAATTATCTTAAAAGAATTAATAATTTTTATATTACAAAATTATAAATAAAATATTATATTTAATAATAAAAAATAAATCTTAATATTTATAAGCAAGTTAAAATTCTTAATAATATAAGTAAAAGTACTATTAATTAATAAAAGATTTTTTTTTTAATAATATATATAAATATTTAATTTTTTAAGATAATTATTTAAATAAAAACTTATATTTAAACAGTTTGATCCTAATAATATTATATTAATAATATTAATTTTTCACATTTATTTAAAGTCTGAAGATTTTGATATTTATAAAAAAATAATAGTTTAATAGTTTAATTTTTTCATTTCAATTATATTACAAGTTAACAAAATTATAATTCAGCTTTTAAATTATTTTATATCTAATATTATACTTGTAAAAAGAGTTTTTATTAATTTAAGTTACTAATATAATTCTAAATTATTAAATAATTTAACTTTAATTTAAATAATTCAAATTATTTAATAATAAACTAATATTATTAGTTTCATTATAATTAAAAATATTTTTCAAGTTATAATTTTAAATTAATTAATATAATTTTTTATATTTATTATCTAATATAACCAGTGATATATTATTAACTTTTTTTAATTAATTATATACTTAAATATAATATTTTTCTTGAAATCTTTAAGTTATTCAACTAATATTTTAAAATTATTATTATTAATACTAAAAGTATTAGTAAAATTATATATTTTTTGCTAAAGTATTTTTTCTATTATTATAATATTTTTAAATAAAGCTTATATAAATTAAATGATAAATATTATATTAATTTTAGAAAAATAATATTATTATATTTATTTTTTCTTTATAATATTAAAATCTTTATTAATATTAAGTTATTTACTACTTTCTTTGATAATATTTGACTTTATATTTATATTCAAAATTAAGTTAATATTAAATTAGATATGAAGTTTTTTAATATTTAAGATAAATTTCTTTTTTTAAAGAAAACTTTTACTTTATTTTTTTTTATTTATTTATAAAAAAAATTATATAAAAATTTTTAACTTTATATTATACAATTTTAAAAGTAATCAATAATAATTTTTTATAAAAATTTATATTATTATTTAAAAAAATTTATATATAAATATTAATAAATTATTATTATAATAAAAATATCAGTTAATTAAGATATTATTTTATATTAGTAAAATAATCAAAAATATTATTATTACTTATATAAAATAATTATTAATAAACTTTAATATATAGAAAATATTTTCTTAATTAAAAAAAGAAAAATAGAATTTTTATTACTAAAAATAATATTATTATATAAAAAATATTACTATATAGAGATTTAATTATATAATAAATTTATATATTATAATAAAACTTTTAAAAAAAATAATTTATTAACTTATTAAAAAATTAAAATTAAAATTAAAATTATAAATATTAAAAATTATAAATATTAAATATATTAAAAAATATTAAAATAATAATTTATAATAATTCTAATAAATTATATAATTTAATCAAATAAAAAAATAATTTAATAATTTTCTTATTTCTAATTAAAATTTTAAAAGTAAAACTAATTTTAACTTATAAAGAACTTAATAATTTTGAAAATAATTTTAATTTTATTAGTAAAATAAGTTATTTTAAAAAGAAAAAGTCTTTAATAAAATTAGTAAGTAAAAATAAGTATAAAAAAAATAATAATAAAAATTTAATTTCTTTTAAAAATTTAAAAAAATAGTTAATAATTTAAATATTTAAGTTAAAGATTAATATATATATAACTTGAAAATTAGAATTTTTCATTTAATTTTTGAAAAATAAAAAAATAAACTCATTAGTTTTAATAAATATTAATAATTAATAACTAAATATTATAAATATAATAAAAATAACTAGTTTTATAAATAAGTAAACATAATATTAGAATTATTTTATCAGATAAATTAATCAAAAAAATAAGAAAAATCAAATTTAATATTAAAATAAAGATAATAATTAAATAAATTATTAAAAGAATATTTGATAATAAATCAAGAAAAATCAAAATTATTTAATATGAAATTAATACTAAAATTAAAGAACTAATTATTTTTAAATTATATTATAATAAATATTTATTAATAGAAAAAGAATTTATAGAAAAAGAAATTAAAAGAATATTATAATAAAATATTATTTTATTATTTAATAGTTTTTTATCTGTATTTATAATAATTAAAAAAAATAATAAATATAAATTTTATATAAATTATCATTAATTAAATAAGATTACTAAAAAAACTCAATTTTCTTTATTTAAAATTAATAATTTACTTGATGCTTTTGACAAAGCTAAATATTTCTTAATACTTAATTTAATATTTGATTATTGACAAGTAAAAATAAAATTAGAAGACAAGAAGAAAATTATTTTTATTATTATAAATGATTTATATAAATTTAATATTATATTTTTAAATTAAATAATGCTTTAGCAATATTTAAATATTTAATAAAATCTTTAAATCAAATTCATAATCATTTACTTAGATGATACTAATATATTAGAAATCTTTGAAAAATATCTTGAATATCTAAGAAAAATATTTGATAAATTTAGAGAAAATATTTTGAAACTTCAGTCTAGTAAATATTATTTTAATAAAATTACATTTATCTTTCTTGATCATGTCATTGGTAAAGATAGTTTAAAACTTGATCTTGCTAAAATATTAGCAATAATATAATTTTCAAGACTAACAAATTTGATTATATTAAGAGATTTTCTTGATTTAATACAATATTATAGATAGTTTCTTAAGAATTTCACAAAAATAACAGCATCTTTAAATCAATTAATGAAAAAAATTAACACTTTGAGTGGATCACAAAATATTAAAAAGCATTTAAAGAATTAAAAACTAGATTAATGATAGCATTATAAATTTTTGATCAACCCTGCAAAACAAAACTGATACAAAGAAGTAAATAAAGTGAAAAATTGAAATATTACGTGATTTGATTTTGTCCAATCAGCGGCATTGTTAATAGTCCCATAATAGTAATAAATGATGGCATTACATTAAAAAAGGTACTTTAAAGCATATAAATTTAGTTACTCGGCAATTGATCTACATTAGCCAATCAGATGAACTTCCTCCTATGTTTAGTCTGATGCATCACCAGATACTGGATTTTTTGAATTCTCATCATGTCTACTCAGAATATCGAAAAAAATCGAAAAAGAGCCGAAACAGAAGACCAAAAGGTTTACAAAAAGTTCAACAATATTCTCATTACACAGATTTATCGCGAGAACAATGTTGAAAACGCGTACAAATGTATTGAAACGTTGATGAAGGTCATAGATAATATCAGGAAAGATCCCCTTGAAATAAAGTACCGACGATTAGGAGTGGAAAAACCGTTAGTCAGGAATAATTTGAGAAATGTTAAAGGTGGTATAGAATTCTTGGTGGAACTCGGGTTTCGACGTTCGGTGAAGGAATTCAAAGGTACTATGATATTTATTTTGCACAGCATTTATTTGCGATATGACTACATTTTTTTATAATGTTTAATATCTTAGAGGTTTTTTCTCTCGAAATTCCAAAAATTGCCGAAAAAAGTGATGAAATAGATGATGATAAATTGTGGGTTCAAACTTCAGATCTGGAAATTGCTCACGAATTACTGCATGAGAGCATCAGTAAAGCTCGAGAACGAAAAGAAATACACGAAAGAATGATAGAGAAGGAAAAGCAAGAGGAGGCAAAACGTAAAGAGGAAGTATTGAAAAAAATTGAGGCAGATCGGGAGGCGAGAGCTCAAGCAAGAGAACGTCTTAAATGGATAAGGAAACGTGAGAAGGAACATGAGCAAGAGAAAGAAGAGTAATCGTAATCCTGTGTTCATCAAATTTTGATGATTAAGCTGCATAAATGATGACAATGAATTTTAAAAAATATCAATATAAATTTATGTGGTACCAAATCATGTAAAGCAAATCAAATGTTATTTCTCACGCGAAACTATTTTCCTATTACTTGTAAAATAAACATAACGATTTATTCTGCCAAGAAATTTTCAACAGAATCTTTTAAGAAATCATTTAATAATAATCACCAAATTCCAATACTCTCTTTATTACCCCGAAGTTCACATAATAAAGGAAGAAAAGACGCGTTTTTTAAACGGTTCTTGAGTATGGCTTGGCTTAGCTCTGGTTGGTTTTTAATTCAGTTCACGAATGAGCCTGCTTAAAATAGCCTTAATAATTAATAACGAAAACCAATAAATAAAGCGGGTAGTAATGAGGGTTTAATAAACAACTTGAAAGCAGCGGATATCATAAAATCTTCAAGAGTTGTAGCAGCAATGAAAGCAGTAGATCGAGGAAACTACGTTAAGACTGGGCCATATCAAGACTCTCCACAACAAATAGGATATGGTGCTACTATTTCGGCACCGTGAGTACTAATATTGGCTATACGCATAAAGAAAATTCCTGAAATACTTATCTAATTGAATAGTCATATGCATGGTTATGCGCTCGAGTCGTTAGAAAAATTTCTACAGCCTGGTGCAAAAGGTAAAAACTCATTAGTCCCGAGCTCGTTCTAACAACAAAATTATTTAATGATCTAATTCTGTTTGGATTGTATAGTTCTAGATGTTGGTTCAGGATCGGGATATCTGACTGCATGTATGGCTGAAATGGTAAAATGTGCACACAACATTTTATTATGGGAATGTTGTTCTTTGTCTTGATGCAAATCTTGTCTTAGGTTGGACCTGAGGGCACAGCGATTGGAATCGAGCATATTCCTGAACTGGTAAATTTGGCAGAAAAAAATGTTCGAAAAGATCATCCAGAGTTTCTCGATTCGAATAGAGTCAAATTTATTCAAGGTGATGGGAGGGAAGGATATCCGGAAGATGGTCCTTATGATTGCATGTATGTACTCTTTCTATCTAGAGTTCTGTAATAATATTATTCACTCATTTAAACTATTCAATTTAAAGTCACGTTGGAGCTGCAGCTCCAAAAACGCCACAAGCATTAATAGATCAGTTGAAAGCCCCGGGAAGGAAAGTTCATTACGCAGATTTTGGAGTATTCCAGCATTTATCATTCTTATGTAATTTTATTATGTATACAGGTTATTTATTCCTGTTGGCGTCTATTCGCAAAATATTTATCAAATCGACAAAGATAAAGATGGCGTAATCACCAAACAACCCTTAATGGGAGTTATGGTATGAAAGTTTCTCTGTATAATTCTCTGTCATATATTATTGTTTTAAACCGTTTTTCTCGATATTATCACATAGTATGTCCCACTTACGGATGCGGAAAAACAATTGGATAGCTAAGTTACGTGCATACGTTATTATAAGGATCCACAAATGAATATAATGTACATGATAAATATAATAATAATTTTTGCATCCTATAAGAATAAAAGATCAAGTAAAATCTCTGAAAGAAATATTTAAACCCCATTTTTTATCATCGATGAATCGAGTAATTGCCCGATCACAATAGCTTCAACAAAAGTTCCTTTCGACAGTTCGGAGAGCAAGTCTTCCCGTGCTGGTAACTTTAATAGCGCATTACATCCGCGGAGACTCAATAGTCGACTACTTTGTTGAATACCTGTTGAGTTAGCCTTGAAATTTCCCGTCTCGTGATCAAAATGTATAATTACACGATGAAATTCTGGGCGTGGATCAAGTTTGATAGTATTGGATAGCTAGAAATTTTCAGACCATTTAAATTATATAACAAATAGTGACAAGAATGCATTCCTTCCTTTTGGAGCAATTAATTAATTACCTGTACTTTGACCGTGGGTAGTTCCCAATTTGTGTATCCTGACATTTTCCTAAGAGCAGGAAGGACAAACACGTAAAATGTCACGATGGCGGATACTGGATTACCTGGCAACGCGAAGATTAACTTTTCACGCGCCTGTTCCTCGTTCAACTTTATTGTGGCGAATGTTGTTGGCAAACTGTAATGTCATCATTTTAATACGAAATAAAAAATTTATAGAGAAATGAAATATCCGTCTTATGTTTTACCCTGGTTTAAGCCACACCCGACCAAAATGTATTTTTGCACCTAACGAGCGTTCAAGTATTGTTTTTAGAAGATCCATTTCACCCATCGAGACGCCCCCCGTAGTAATTAATACGTCAACTTCTGGTAATGCAGAGCGGAGTTTTGATTCTAATTCCTGAGGACTAATGGAAGAGTATTGTTAATTGTTTAGCAGCCATAAGAAGGAATCATATATGAAATACTTTACCTGTCTCGACTAATGCCAAAATCCTTGGCTTCAAATCCGACAGATTGAATAATCGATAATAAAGTGGGTCGATTGGTATCACGAATTTCCCCATATTTTAATTCAATTGCTTCATTGTGATCGGCGACTTCATTGCCAGTCGAAAGAACACCAATTACTGGATGTCGAAAGACATGAACCTAAAAATAATACACCGATTTAAATTTATAGTAAGTGTAAATTATTTAATTTTGAAGCTTACACTTTTTATTCCTGAAGATGCCAATATACCAATCTCGCCCTCCATAGCTGATACTAGCTCACCACGACGGCCCACAGTTTCTCCAATCGCGATATCTGACCCAACTTCCCTAATTTTACTACCTTCTCGTGATTGAACATGAATTTCCACCAATTCTTCGTTTTCGCCATCAGCTGAAGTACGCACAAGTGTTGTATCTTCAACCATAACAACAGCCGTTGCGCCAGGCGGTACACAACCTCCTGTTGTAATTCGAGTAATCTGACCGGATTGGAGTGAAGTAGTTGAAGCGGATGAAGTCGCTAGCGAGATCGCTGTCACAGGATAAACTCCAGGTCCATCGCTTGCTATTCATATAGCGAATTAGGTATAATGGTTGGAGAACGAATTTTGCTCTTAAGAGTATAAGCTTTAAATTCATACCCACTACTGCATAACCATCAACTATTGACGCACGATAACCAGGAACATTTTCTTTTGCGGTTACATCCTGAGCCAGGACATAACCAATTAGTTTCTCATTAACCGGAACTTCGATCGTTTCTAAATTCTGCAGATGATCATTGACAATCTTGAGGGCGTCGTTGATTGCAATCGCTGGATATGGAGATTTACGATGACGTTTTGTAACTGTAATGTGGAAATAATGTCACGTGATCTCTACTAATACAAACAAAACACGTGATACAAAATTTTTTTAACTGAAATTTCTACCAGGAACTGATAAAGAATTCGACAATAGAGTTTCGCTTCCATGATTTTCAGAACTATATGTGTTCTTGTGGTGCAAACATTGATGAGAATCATGAGCAACAGTCTTTGTTGATTCGTGATCAGAACTTTTTTCTCTCATATTTCGATGAACTTTTTCGCCTGTTCCACCACTGACTAATTCAATTGCATGGGGTAAAATGCTTAAAACTGCTTCTAAATTTTCTTTTGCTCCTTTGGGACTTCCAGGCAAGGTCAAGATAATCGATTTGCCACGAATGCCACTAACAGGGCGACTCAGTGCAGCGAATGGTGTTTTCTTTAAAGAACTAGAAATCATCGCATAAGTAAGGCCCGGTGACAATTTCTCTAATAAAGGAGTAATCGCCTATTTTGTCGTAGCAAAATAATTAGATCGAACACTCGAAAAGAATTCAGCTCTTGAATTTCAAAGAGAACTTACTTCTGGCGTGAGATCTCTGACGCCGAATCCTGTTCCACCCGTAGTAATTACTAAGGCGAGCTTTTTTTCATCACACCAATTTTTCACAATTTCCTGGATTTTATCGAATTCATCTGGAATGCATGCAGTTGCATCGACACGAAACGTTGTTTTTGTATCCTGCCCTTTCTCTAATAGATTTTTTAAAATTGGTCCACTAATATCTTTATCTGGTGTGGCTGAAGCAGTATCACTCACTGGTATGTTTTATTATCAGCAATAATTTATTAGAAGTCGAGTCATAAATGAAGACGAAAAAACAACAAATTTTCTTGCCTGTCAGAATTCCAACGGAAATTAATTCTGTTTGACGATATTGGTTAGTAAAAAATCAAAGAAAATGTGCCTGCCAAAGATAATGATTACCTGTTGTATCAGCCATAATTTCTTTTCACGCGCATCTTTCGTTTTAGTTATATTGTACACATGTTATATACATATTAAATCACATAAATATTTTCACAGAATCATATGATAAATTATAACTTTAATTTTTATTAAGAAATATTTCTGAGTTGTTCTAATTGTGAAATCAATGCAACATCAAAAATATTCCATAAATAGCGATTTCTATTAGAGAGTACGTTTTTTAAAATTTTTTAAAAATCAAGTAATCAGATTAGATGGTTTTTTAGAATTAATTTTTGATCATTATGACATCATAGTGAAACTTGATTGGTTATGATTTCTCGTATGCGAGAATTTATACTTCCTTTTTTATTTCTCATTTATTTCAAAGGAGCAAACATGAACGCAAGGTAAAATTAGCGAAAGCCGCGCTCGAAATCTTTGATCTGCCGCAATAAACCGACTCATCTTTGTCTTGTTAATTTAGCACTGTTGCCAGCAATATTCCGTCAAATACGACAACCATGAAAAAGAAACAACGTAATCAATACCCTGCTAACGCGGCCAATAATCACGCGCCGTTAGATTCGCAACTCTCGGAAGAACAAAATACCGAGATAAGAGAGGCATTTGAACTATTTGACACTGATAAGGACGGCGCATTAGATTATCATGAGTTAAAGGTACGTTAGATTTTTTGGATTTGAGGCGTGTAATATTTGGTTGTGGTGTACCTTTAAAATTCATTATATAATCTATGAGCTTGTCCTACAAAATATTCATTCGATTATTTTTCTGATTCAAATGTCTCAATAAGGTAGCCATGCGAGCGTTAGGTTTTGATGAAAAGAAACCTGATGTGCTTAAACTGATACGACAGTATGACAAGACAGGAGAAGGATATATGGTATATGAGGACTTTTATAAAGTTAGTGAGTATACTCTGTCAGTCACAATTAGAAAATTATGATGTGTGATTTTACGCGTGATTTTTTGTTTTTATGTGAATATTCCGTGTCAAACTTCAGTCCAAGTGATAAATATTAATTCATCATGGTCGCATTGTGTTGATTTCTCAGTGTCAGAACGGATCCTAAATCGATCACCATTAGAAGAGATACAAAGAGCATTCAAACTCTTTGATGACGATAATACTGGCAAGATTTCTTTGCGTAATTTAAGACGCGTCGCAAAGGAGCTCGGTGAAAATTTAGATGATGAGGAATTACAGGCAATGATAGATGAATTTGATTTGGATGATGATGGAGAGAGTATCCTTGCAAATTTTTTGGATACTTATATGCTGATTGTACGCTTCCATTTTCTTTATTATTCTCTTAACTTTAATAACTTTTTTTCGTGTTTTAGTCAACGAAGCGGAATTTGTAAAGATTATGTCTGAAAATTTATAAAAGATCTAAGATCACTAGCATTCATGGAGTTTTGTATTCACTAGCATTTATTGAACACTGATATTAGTATACGTTTGGCGCGACTATCTTTTCAATCTTTTTGCAATTTTATTATGGATACAAACAGAATTGGAGTTTCTCATCTTTTTTTCCTTGTTGATATGAAAGGGACATTTTTTTCTGGTCTAGATTTGTTTCAATTTCGCATTCTCACTTGCATTTTATATATACAGATTTTGTGATTGTACTTTAATTGTAGAATAGACTTATGAATAAATATGAAGCCAAAGAAATTGGCAATCATTCCCAATTTGGGTTAGCACCAATAAATGACGTTATGTGATATGATAACGTTAGTTTTTTATTTTTTAATTTGTTACGACTTGATCGATATTCGACAAAGTAAGAAGTTTCATTTTGTGTTGATGCAAATTGAGTGACTTTGTACTAACTTTTGATTTTTGCTAATTATAGTGGCAAAAAAACAAAAAGCAAGGTAAAATTATCAAAATGAAAGGAATCATTAATTTTTTAAAGATGCCACATATAATATTTAGATAGATATCTATAAAAAGGCGGAGTTGTGACTTTGCCATGTTTATTCATTTATTTGAAATAAATAAATCAATCTCTCAATTCATTTGAATTTCTCAGAGTGATAATAGTTAAACTTTTATCTACCGCTGGTACCGGATTCTTTTACGCGCGAAGACGACCACGGCAATCGCCAAAATTAAGCTGTATGAAGTTTGATCCTAGAGGTATTCTATTTCTTAAGATTGATCTAATTTCTTTTTTTTTAAACATGAGATTAATTAATTGGTTCATATGTTATCTATCATAAAATGTAGTTAATAAGCACGTATTATTTCTGGAAACGAAAATGAAATAAAAGAAAATTTTAAATAATATGTGGGTTATGATGAAAATTATATTTATTATCGACTAATAAAGCTAATTTCATTAATAGTTTCTTTAAAGATAAATATGGTCTAAGTGGTTGCAATTTTGGCTGCTTCTGCTTGCTCCTTTTTAATTTTCTCCATTGCACGCATTCGCCTCATATAACTATTAAGATAACCATAATTCGTCAAAACAACAGATAACATAAACTCGCATACTACAAAAAAACGAATGCTATCATTTTTATATATGTGTGTGTACACTCACTCTTCGTATTGACACTTTTCATACGCGTGTTTTTCCTCTTTACATTTCCATGGAAAATAATTCTCCCTCACACGACACTTATTTAATGGTATTAACAAATGCGCGCATGTGTCGCGCCACGCCAATGGTACACGGTGTTTTTCTAATTCTTCTTGGGTTACGTGAAATACTTTTTTTTGCAGATTGCCAAATTTAGAATTAAAATAAATGAAAAAAAAATATAATATTGGGGAAATATAAATATTTTTACCCGGAGTTGCGTCGTCGTCTGCCATAATGATTGATGTTTTTTCGGTGTGGTCGTTAGGAAATCAACGAGTCAGTTATTGATCGAAAGTGAATGATCTCTGTGCATGCAATTATTAGATGTTACAAAGAAAATCTATAATCACGATTTTCTTCCATCTTTTGCATACATCCGCAAATATAATTCATAGCATAATGCCGATTCCGTTCGAGGCTTTAATCCCATTCGGTAAATAATTATAAAATGAAAGAATTATGCTCAGCAAAAAAAGTAATTTGATAAAAATACATTTATATGCATCCAAGGGTTTGTTACTGCCATGTTTGGCGTAACTGGTACTCTGCTGCACGCTGTAAAGACCTATAAAAACGACGGAAAGGTAAAGTGAATATGGAATTTTTTATCTTTGGCGCTTGTTCTAATGAGGTCTTTATCTCCATTAGAATCCAAGATATGGTCTCACTCAATGGGATAGACAAATGATGGAACGCGATAAACGTTTAACAGGCTCTTTTCGTGGGCAAACTGTTCGTATATCTCTTACATGAAAAAATTAAATCCCCGAATGATGATGTAACTAAATTTTGTATCTTCTCTTAGTCGAATCCCGTTGCGCCTCCAGAATTTGCTTACAATAGTTCTTTGTATCAATCATTACAACCACGATGATCTTTATTTTGAATGTAATTATTAGTTCTATACATTATTACCATCATCATCTTGTTACATTTGAATGAGGCAGAAACAAAGATAAGCTAATTTTTACATCGAACATCTTACAATGATATGCATTTCGCAGTCATACATATTTGTCTTTTAAAAATTTATTTAAAATATAGAGTATTTTTTTGAATGTCAATCAATCTTCTGCTTGTCTTTTCAACCCTCTATTCATTGATATTGGTTGTTGATTACCGCCAGTTGGTGCGAGATTTGGTGGATGATGATATTGATTAGAAGAATAAGAGGAAGATGAATGATATGGAGGAATTCCCGGAGAATTTGGTGGTTCTT